GAGTGTGTGAGTATATGTGTGTGTGTGTGAATGTGTGTGTGGGCATGTGTGAATGCGTGTGACAGTGTATGTGTGAGTGTGTATGTGTTTATGTATGTGTGAAGTGTGTAGGTGTCTATGTGTGAGTGTGTCTATGTGTGTGAGTGTATGTGTGAGTGTGTATGTGTGAGTGTGTATATTTGACTGTGTGTGTGAGTGTGTGTGTTAGTGTGTGTCCAGTTGTGTGGAGGACATGCTGGCAGTGCACAAGGTATTCCTAGTCCACCATGCCCAGACCTCTCTCCTAATGGTTTTCTGGAACATTCTTAATTTCCCCTGGAAGGTCAAGCCCACAGCCGTCACCCATGGTGGGAACACCCACTGCCTCTCACTCTGAACGGCTGACCTCCAGCACCTAGAGACCTTGAGCTAATTAATGTTGGACATAAAGCAGAACTGAATAATCTCAGATGTGGCAAGATGACCGGGCAGTTAGGAGCACTAGCTGGTCCTTTTGCATGTAAGTTCTTTCCACCTTTCAGGAGCAGAGCATTTGCATGTTAGCAAATGCAGGAATTAACATGTGAGCCAGGATGCAGACTGTGTAGTATGAGTAGCATGTATGTGATGGAGAGAGGTGTGCAAGATACCTTCTGTGTCTGGTGTACGTGTATATAGGAACCATTTGTGGGTGGCGTGTCTATGTACGCAGTATGTGCATATATACTGTGTACGTATACATGTTTAAGAGCGTGACTTTGCTTTTGCATGGTGTCTGCATGTGGAAAACATACATTGTGCCACGTGTGCACTTGGTATGTGATGCATTCATGAGCTCTGTGTTCTGTGTCTGATGCATCCATGTGTGGGTTTGGTGTACTTGTGGGAGCATGTACTTGTGTGATATTTGGGTGCTGTGCATGATATCACACATGAGACCAGCCATATACATGCACTACTATGAATACCATATACACACAATGCTCACACACAAACATGCACATCACACAGATATAGTGTTATATACAAATGCACACATGCCAGCTGGGCATGTACACACACACATACACACACTCATACACCCATATACTCACACACCAACACATACACACATACACACTCACATATATGCTCACACACACATAAAATCACACATACACACACTCACAAATACACACACTCACACATACACACACTCACATATACTCACACATACATACTCATGAATACACTCACACACATATGCTCTCACACACTCACATACACACAAATACACATATACTCACACACATGCACAAACACACTCACACACCCATACACACATATACATACACTCACACATATACTCACACTCACACATATACTCACACACTCATGCACTCACACACTCATACACTCACACGTACACACATACGCACACATATACACACATACATCATACATACACTTGCACACACTCACACATATGCTTGCACACACAGTCACACACTTGCACACACATTCATACTTGCATACACTCACACATACACTCATGCCCACACACTCACATGTACACACACAATTCACACACATTCACACACATTCACTTTGGTTCCATGGACAATGGTACTGGTGGGATTCACAAGCTTTGGGGAAGGAATCTGGAGAAATGCGCAGTAAACAAGGATTCCAGAGATACCCTGAAGTCCTGTGTCGTCATGATGATCAGAAGACACACATGGAAAACACGTCGGCACTTTATTCATCTCCTAACACCTCTGCTCTCACACCAGACACCATACAGCTAGTGAAGGCCTGGACCAGGAAGACAGTGCAGAGGCCCAGGGTGGAGTGCAGGTGCCATATCTCAACAGAGAGTAACTGACCTGCTCCAGACCAGTCTCCTGTAGCAATGTGGACTCCCGGATGAGAAACCACGTCACTGAGCGTAGGCAGGCTGGGGGTTGGGAATTGGGAACCCAGCAGGTTGGAGTCAAGTATCAATCCTAACAGTACCTTAGATCGAACCTAACCCTGGCCCCAACAAACTTCCTAACTAATTAGCCCCCAGCACTAACTCCAACACCAGTCACACAAACCCATTGCTGGGCCAACCCCATCCATACCACCCCCAACCCTAAAACAACCATACTCCCTATAAAATCCAACCCCACTCCAACCTCAAATCCCACCCCTACTCCAGCTTTAAGCCTGGTCCAAACCCAACTGTAACCAAATCCCATCACCACCCAATCCTAACCTCTGGTTTGGCCACACCTTGAATGCCGCCTCCCCAAAGAAATCATGGAGATCTCAGCTGGACTGGCATCTCTATAAACCCCTGGTTCTCCTTTTGGCACCAGGCACATGGGTTGCTATTTTTAATTTTCTGTATACGTGACTTAGTATATAAGGTTACAAGTTTATAATTAGTTAATGTTCGTGTTTCCTGAAGCCACTAGAAGCAAAATCAGTATCCCTTTCCGACTGGTGTCCCTGGGGCTCAGTGGGGACAGGCGGGGTGGGGGCTCTAAGTTTCACATCCTGATGAATGAGCAGATTGAGTTTGAGTATTGTGAACTCTGAACATTCTCCACGCATGTTGCCCACATGCTGATGCAGAGAATCGTCTATGTTCCTTCAGAAGGAAGACGTCACTGGACCATCTCAGGGCCTGTCCTGCCTTCTTGTGGAGGAAGGAGGATAGCAGAAGTAATTGTCTCCTGCTGGAGTCTCCTCCAGGCTGTGGGGAGGAGTAAACAGAGGGCTTCAAGCAGGAGGCTAGCTCTGGGAAAGGAGCTCACCCCTTGGAACAGTGGGGGTGGGCTGTCTGCAGTAGTTCAAGGCATTCTCAATGACAGGCTATGGCTCTAAGGTCCAAGCCACAGATTGGCCCTGGCAGTGGATGGTGCCGTAGCTGTGGGAGCCCCTGGCTCATGCCACGGCTGTGAGATGCAGACCACAGGGCAACTGGGAGCTCCATGGGGTGTGGCCATGATCACTGTAGAACAGAGTGGGCTGCAGTGGACGCCACTTCCTGAGGTGGAGGCAGCCAGTGGGTGGAGGTTTGGGCTGGTGTTCACAGGCTGAGATTTGTATGTGCAGAAACAACTGTAGCGTAGACATTCTGGATGTATTCCTACTGTGACCATGAACTCAGGTGGCATCCCGAGTCTGCTTCTGTAGGAAGACACAGGACCTCAGGTGTAGGTTCTGGTTGACATTCTGAGTGGCTGAGTTGGGGTCTTAGAGGGAGGGAGGAATGGGACAGTAGGCCAGCAGCTAAGGAAGGGCCAGGATGGTGCAACCTTGCTCAAGGTGCCTCCACAATGGGGCTTCTCCATTGGCTGAGGCATTAGCTGTGGGCAGCTCTGGGGATACCCTTGCTTGGACAAAGTGTCACTATGAGTGGGAACAGTTGACATTCCTGAGCCGGGGAGGGATGTGGCCAATAAAGGAGACCTGGGGGACATCAACAACACTTACTCTATTCCGTGCTGCTTGCCTGTCCCCCATATCCCTGCCTCCAAGATTTATTTATTATATTTGAATCTCAGTCTCCAATGTCACAGAATTTGGAGGTTGTGGAAGACCATTAGGTCTAGAGATGAAGCCCTCATTGTTGGGATTTGTGTCCTAAGAGACCCAAAATGGTTGGCTGGACCTCTGCCATGTGAAGGCACGTGACAGGTGTCTGTGACTGTGAAGTTGGCCCTCCCTGGCATCTTGGCCTTAACAGCCTGCACAGCTGTGAGCAAAGACGCCTTTGGTGGTAAGTCCATCTATGTACTCTGCTACGGTGGCTCAAATGGACAAAGACAGTCGGTACCCAAGAGGCCAGCCCAGGCATGCAAATGCTTGCAACAATCCCAAGAGCCAGGCATATCCATGACGGGGGTACACGCCTTGCTGGATTCTGCTGGCCCCAGGCTCTGCTGGTTTGGGACTGTCTTCATTGGTCTAGTGGTGTCTTGTAAAAGCAAGAGAGGTTATTCAACTATAGAAGTCATTACCATGGCACCAATGAGTTCTACACAGAAAGGAAACTGTAGTTTCAAGAAAGGTTTGTGCTCCAGGCTGAGGGGCCGAGCTCATTCGACTGTGTGGTGATTTATTTAGTTAGATTGGGTTTTCCTCTCTTTCCTCTCTATCTTTACAAGGAGGAATACAACATGCCCTCTGGAGAGGAAACTGCTCTCAGCAAGGCTGCACCTACTGGCATCATCTGGATGAAGGGCATGGCCCACAGGGAGAATGAGAGGTTCTAGGAGAATGTAAATGAGGGGTTCCTCTAAAGTTATAATGTAATTATATTTATTGGTGTGTGGAGGTCAGAGGACAACTTGCATCTTGCCAACTCTTTTTTTTTTTGTTTTGTTTTGTTTTTCGAGACAGGGTCACTCTGTGTAGCCCTGGATGTCCTAGAACTCACTCTATAGGCCAGGCTGGCCTCGAACTCAGAAATCCACCTGCCTCTGCCTCCTGCCTCTGCCTCCCAAGTGCTGGGATAAAAGGTGTGCGCCACCACCGCCTGGCCTTGCCAACTCTTAATGTGTTCTTGAATTGTATTTGAAAAACTTTATTGCAAGTTTTTGTATCTATGTCATCAGGGACAATGGTACACCATGTCCTTTATTTGTTATTTCCTTATCTGGCACTGGAAGCGGGTAATCAGGCCTGGCTGAAGAAGTGCAGGGAGACACAGGTTGCTTGCCACTTTTCAGAAGTTTTATTACAAAGAGGTCTGAGCGAAGCACTGGGGGCACCAGGACAGACATTGCAGGGGCCAGGAGACAGCTGCGAACAACAAGAACCAAAGCCTAAACCAAACCCAAACCTTGAACCACACACACGTTAGGAGAAACCACACTGCTAGTCTCAGTTTTTCTTCATAAATAGATAACCGAAATCGTCGCTGGAAATTTTAAATAGGTGGATTTATGAGCAAAACAGAAACAAAAAAGAGAAAGAAGAGGAGGAAGAGGAAAAGGAGGAAGAGGAAGAAGAAGAGGGAGGGGAAGAAGAGGAAGAGGAAGAAGAAAGGGAAAAGAGGAAGATGAAGAGGAAGAAGGGGAAAAAGGAAGAAGGGAAAAAGGAAGAAGAGGAAGAAGAGGAGGAGGAGGAAGAAGAGGAAGAAGAATGCTCCTGTGTGTGGCTTAAAACTCCCCATTCTCTGTGTGCAGAGTAGAATCAGTTTGACAGTTGCTTGTGCACATGTCTCCCTTAAGATAAAACTTAAAAAAAAAATGTGCCAAAGGTCTTATAAAAAAATTTTTAACCTTAAAGGAAACTTTCTTTCTCCCCACAAAATAATCTTACAGATGTCTTCAGCACAGTTCTAAAACAGTGAACTACTTACACGGAACCCACAGCATGAGTTTCAGCATCTTTGTGTACACTGAGAGCACACCTGTGGCTGGCCCAGCATCAGGGGGTGGGTGTCTGTTGCTAAGCAACCTCGAAGGGGGCAGCCCGGTGAGCTTGGGCTGGGGCCAGAAGTCCAGACGCAGGGGACTGTGTGCAGGCCAAGGAGCGGGGTCCACAGCTACCCTGGAGCAAGCAGGTCAGCGGGCAGAAGGTTCCTGCAGGTTCTTTGGGCTGGTGGTGGGCGGTGGGCTGCCTCTGCAGAGTCTGGTGGGAGGTCGAGGGAGAGACTCAGCTCTGGGGCATAGGTGTGTCACTGCTCTCGCTGGCCGGTCACCCTGCCTGCTGCCATGGCCTCTTTCCTGTGGTCAGCCCTTCCTGCTCGGAGCAGTGCCCTCCGGAGAGCCTCAGGGAGGGAGGGGAGGCGGGATTAGGTGAGGTAGAGCGATTTATCCCTGGGGAGCAGGCTGCAGGAGAGAGTAGGGGCTGTCAGCTGCTGGAGCCCACCCTGGCCCTGTGAAGATCGTTCTAATCAGCTGTACTTCTAAAGTTGAAGGAGGGAGTTCCCACCAAGCAGAACCAAACACCCATCTCGGCTTCCCACTAGGGATCATCTAGTTTTTAAATCTGCTTAATGTCTTTTGTGTCATTTTGCTTTTGGAGACAGAAGTGTATGTATCTCAGGCTGGCCTTGAACTTGAGATGTAGTTGAGGATGACCTAGAACTTTTTTTTTTCTTTTTTAAGATTTATTTATTTATTATATATGAATACACTGTAGCTGTCTTCAGACACACCAGAAGCACCAGAAGAGGGCATCAGATCTCATTACAGATGGTTGTGAGCCACCATGTGGTTGCTGGGATTTGAACTCAGGACCTCTGGAAGTGCAGTCAGCGCTCTTAACCACTGAGCCATCTCTCCAGCCCAGACCTAGAACTTTTGATTCTCCTGCTTACATCCCACCCTCCAGCCTAGGTCCTGGGGTTCTAGGTATGTGTCACCACAACAGGTTTAGGTGGTTCTAGGGAATCAAACCCAGGACTTCAAGCATTCTAGGCAGACACTCTACCAACTGAGATACATCCCAAGCACCGTACCCTGTCTGCTTTTAATCACGACATCAGCATTTGTACATGTCAAACAGAATGACAGGCACCTTTCTGTCTTTAGAATATAGCACGGGGCTAGCCAGATATGGTGACACCTACCTGTGGGAGGATGAGGCAGGAGGATCGTGAGTTCAAAGCTAGCCTGAGCTACATAGGAAGATTACACATTTAACAAGAAATGAAAAACTAGAATAGGCTGTTGTGGATCAACATCCTTGCTGGGGGAAGAAGAGCTAGCCTTAGGAAGTTCACATACAGCGTACCTATTCCTCCTGGGCCCCTGACTCTTGGGAAGAGGAAGGCTGGAGGGAAGACCGTGCCAGCTTGGTTATGAAGGGAGTTGCTGCCCACCCGAGTCTGTGCACCTGCAAAGGCTTGCTCTAGAAGGTCAGAAGTGGAAGCCAGAGCAGGGTCCATGCAGTGCCAGGAGCACTAGCAGGCTGGGCAAACTGAGGAGCCCATGCTGAAAGGCTGGTGTCCACAGATGGGGGACACACTGTCAGGTGATGGAGGTGGATACCATTTGCTCAACATCCACACCTCACTCTCTATAGGAGAAAAGGCCCGAACCAAGGCCAGCCTCAGTTTCTCTCTTGGCTGCACTCCCCCACCCACAAGGACTTGGCTTTGCTCTGTGATGTTCCTGTATTCTAAGTATCCACAGGCTGGGCTGACGGTGACTACTTCACATCCCACCCTCCACCCCAGGGTCTCCCTGTCCTCCTGGCCAGCCCTGCCCCTTATCAGGAATGGACAGCGAAGGGGGTCTGGGGAGGACTGACCTGCAGGTGCCAAGGCCGCGTTCCCCACTGGGGTAACTGCCATCCCAGTCTCCACTGCTGGAAGGGTTGGATGGGCCAGGTGAGCGGGAGCCAGAGCCACTGGGGAAGTCAGAGATGTGTGGGAAGTCCTGCAAGGGAAGGAGAGGGTGGTGAGCAGAGAGGAGGGGAGGCCTCTCTGGCAGCTGGCATGGTCTTTGTGTGTCTGAGGGTGTCTACACTTCAGAGACGTTTCCTTGGCCCACACAGAATGGCTACTCGGCCTCCTCCTGCTTCCTCCTAGTAAGCATCTTTGGAATGATTCATTCAGTCTGAGCTGATTGTGTGTCTCAGCGATGGAGTACCTGCCTAGTGGGTGTGAGCCTCTGGGATTCATCCCTAGTGTGACAAAGGAAAAAAAAAAGAAAGAGTGAAAACAAAAATTCAACCCGTTTTAGCTGAGTGTGTTGGGGGGGGTGACTTTGCCTTTAGGTTCTTTCCTTTGCTGGGCCTCAGTTTCCCAATCTGTAAAATGGAGTCACTGGGTTGCATGCACGTCTTGGAGACATTTGTGGAACCATCACTAGAGGCTAGGACTTCGGAGATTGATAGGAGTTGGGAAATCTGGCAGAGGTCACTGTGGTGTCAGTGGCTTGGGCTGAGAAGCTTAAGTAGGCAGCTAAGAGAAGGTTCTGGAACAAGGCTTAGCTTAGCCATCAGTCAACTGCCTGAGAGCCACTGTCTCTCCAGGCAGGTGTTTTAGGATCCATTTCAAAGAACTGGAAACTGAGTCTCAGAGAGGTTGCACAGCTATCGAGTGACCTGGCTGGTATGTGAACTCCCCAGCTGCCTTCCCTTTTAGTGAGAGTCACAGTCATGGGAAGCTGTTGCTTGGTTCTGCTTACCTGTGGCCCTGGAGGTGAGGGGCTCATCGCCAGCTGCACCTGGAGTGCCATGGGAGCAGGCAGGACAGGAGGCTGCGGGGCTGGGGACATGCTGAGAGGCGGGCTGAGGAGGGTGCCCTGCGCGTGGGGGGGCAGGGGCAGCTGCTGGTGCAGTGAGGGGCTGAGAGGGAAGGAGGGGGGTGGGGGGGAGGTGCTGAGCCCTGGCAGCAGGGCCTTGGAGCCCAGGGTCCGGGCAAGGCTGGCGGGAGAGGCTCCACTGCGAAAGGCCTGCAGGTCGGAGGGTGTCAGGAAGGAAGCCAGGCCGGGCATGGCGTACATGGGCTGCTTGGGTGGGAGCATTTTGGCTGGTGTGTTTGCCTGAGTGTTCTTGGCCTCGCCTTGGTCTGGGGGGCTCTGGAGGAAGATGGAAACCAGGGATAAACGAGGGATAAGTTAGAACCTGGACTGCCCATCCGTGGGTCTGCAAGCCTGCAGGGCCTCTGGATGGCTCAACGTCATGCTAAGGGACAGGATGTAAACTAATAAGCCGTAACTATGCAGAGGTCTTCAGACAGTTGTTAATGACTCTCCCAGACTCCCAGACAGTTCCCCCCGCGTTGTAAACACCCTTTGCACGGCCCCTTACAGCGCAACCCGGGTGTTATTTCCCTGTGACAACCTCCAGGAATACACTTTGCCTCTGTGCTTCTGGTGTGAACAGAGAGAGGCAGTGGGCACGGTCAGGAGTTAAGACAGCAGAGCCACTCAAATGGGCAATCCCACACTCACTGCTGAGGCCCCTGCGTGCTAGCCCTTCTGCTGAAGGAAGTCAATGGAATGAGCTACACATAAAGCCTGACACGCTGGAGGTGCTCCCCAGGTGTGACGCACAGGTACCACTCGTTGTCTCAGGTCTGTGGTACCCACTGTTCCTAGCGGTCCTGGCCTTTGCACTATCCCTCTCATTGGGGCCTTGCCTGGGGATTGTGTTACCTTGGACATGAGGCTAGCCCGGGGATTGTGTTACCTTGGACACGAGGCTAGCCCTGTAGGCCGCCAAGGCTTTCAGGTACTCCTTCTTGGCAGCTTCGGTCTTCCTCTTATACGCCTGAAAGATCCGAGACATGGGCAACTCTGGAGAAAACGTCACAGAGGAGCCTCAGTGCAGAGGCGGGGATGACAAGCAGGGGCTCCGGGGCCATGCATGGATGAAGGTGGTTGGATCAGAGGCTGGATCAGTCGCTAACTGGCCCACCTCTTTTGAGAGCATCACACCGGGAGTGTAGAGGCCAGGCTACACTCTGGTTCCTCAGTATGATGTTGGCACAAGTGGCAGTGGAAAGACAAGTCACCCAGAAGCCCCTCTTTGACCGAGCACCATGCCAGTACCCTAATCCTGCACCGTTTGTACTCTGGCATGAACCCACTCCTACTCAAATTTGCTGTAATTGTTACTATATTAGCATTAGACCTAGGTTTGCATGACTGCAGGGATGGCCATCATGTGTTTCACTGCCTCTCTGTGCATGCCTTTTAAGTAGAACTCTACCACAATGACTTGGGGCTCAGCCTTGAGACTATTTGGCCAGTGGTACAAGAATAAATTGATGCGGGAGACTTGCAAAGTGCTTAGACTCTGGAGTGGCCCCTGGCTGCCCGGGAACTAGCCTGGTACGATGGTTTGAATAAGAATGGCTTCTGTAGGCTCCTATACTTGAATGCACAGTCACCAGGGAATGGTGTTATTTGAGAAGGATTAAAAGGCGTGGCCCTGGTTGGAAGGAGCGTGTCACTCTAAGGTTTCCAAAGCCCATGCCAGGCCCAGGATGGCTGTCTCTGTCTCTCTGTGTTTCTGTCTCTCTGTTTCTATCTCTCTGTCTCTCTCTGCTTCTGTCTCTCTCTGTCTCTGTCTCTCTCTCTCTCTCTGCCTCTGTCTCTCTGCCTCTGTTTCTCAATCTCTCTCTCTGTCTCTGTCTGTCTCTGTCCTGTCTGTCTGTCTGTCTGCCTCTCTCTCTCTCTCTCTCTGTGTCCCTCTCTCCCCTCTGCTTGCAGATCAGGATATACTTCTCAGTTACTTCTGCAGCCCCACGCCTGCCTGCCCCCCATGCTCTCTGCCATGATGATAACAGACTAAGCCTCTGCAACTATAAGCAAGCCCTCAATGAAATACTTTCTTTTATAGGAGTTGCCTTGGTCATAGTGTCTCTTCACAGCAATGAAACAGTGGCTAAGATTCCGGGCTAGCCAGTGGGATCATGACATGCAAGATCCAGACAGATCCACCTTCTTGAAGAGTTGCCCCGTGTGTTGCAGCTGATTGCATAAGAATTGATATCTTTCATCAAGGGCAGTGGATGAACCACCGTGCTGAGCCCAGCCAAGCCCACAGCATGAGAAAATGACAAAGGTCTCAGAGTGGAAGCTGTCAGTGTCCCTGGCTCTCCCTACTGCAGCAGCAGCACACACAGCATCCAAGGCCAGCAGCAAAGTCCTGGACAGAGACTAAGACCCTGATCTGCCACATGAGTAAGACCAGAAATGTGGGAGGATTATTCTCCCTTGGAGCCACTCTCAACCAATGGCTAATAAAGCTGGAGGTCATCCAGTACCCTTGTAGCTCAGACGGGTTGTCAAAGACAAGGTCTATGTTAGCTCCAGAGCTCCTGTCTCCCACAGTGTCTGACAGTGTCTTCTGTCTTCTGCTGTCTCATGTCTCGCCTCTCTCCAGCAGGTCTTAGACTCTCTGCTAAACTACCTGCCCTAGACTAGTCCACAAAATCTCTACCCAAACAGGATAAAGGATGCACCGCGCTCACATCCGTGATCCGTGTCTCTGGCTCCAGCTTGCTACTGTACTGTGCTTCTCACACCCGTGGACAGCATCTCCACTCCCCACCACAAAGTCAGAATCCCAAGGAGTCCCCACCACACCCTCCACTTTCAAATCTGCCTGTTCTCGGATCTCTGATCTCTCCTGCCAGATGAGGAACTTCCGGGTTACCTTTCCTGCCTGCCTACACCTGAACTGGCTCTCTCTGTGCAAACATGTCAGTGGTTCCCTCTGCTTGTATGGCACGTACTTCACTCCTGTCCTCAAGGGCCTGCTTGGCCCCTGTCCACCTCTCTAGCTCTGTCACACTGTGGGAGCCCTCACCATCAGCGTTTGGCTCCCCTGAAGTCTCAATATCATGTGCTTGTCACTCCCTTCCTGGACTTGTCTGCACAGTGCCTTCAGCATAAGGGTCTCCTCCCATGGAGATGAGCCTTCAGTGTCACCTTGGAGATGTACAGGAGCCTATCCCAGGGCTGCGTCCTTTCCTCTCTTTTTGACCCCTGTGATAGTTTAAATAGGTTTGGCCCCCATAGACTCATGCATTTGAATGCTTGGACCATAGGGAGTGGCACTATTAGGAGGTACGGCCTTATTGGGGAACATATAGCCTTGTTAGAGAAAGTGTATCACCGGGGAGTCAGGGCTTTGAAGCCTTAAATGCTCAAGCTACAGTATGAAAAAAAAAATCCTGTCTGTTCCTGGCTGCCTTCTGATCAAGATGTAGAACTCTCGGCTCCTCCAAGCACTGTGTCTGCCTGCACACTGCCATGTTTCCGACCATGATGATAATGAACTGAACCTCTGAAAGTATAAGCCAGCCCCAGCTAAATGTTTGCCTTTGTATGTGTTGCCGTGGTCATGGTGTCTTTTCACAGAAATAAAACCCTAACTAAGACACCCCATTCCGTCCCCATGACCCACGGCACCGCTGTGGTTTTACACTTACCAATCTGCTTATTGGGCTTCTAGCTCTTATCCCAGCATCCTTGTTGACTTTCCCGGATCCATAGGCCTGAACAAACCCTGATGCCAGTCTTACAATGAGGACCTTAGTGAGTCCTTAGCCTCTTGTTGCCTCCCCCTCTTCCTATCAATGGATGGTGTACTGGGTGGTTGTGTGTATCAACTTGACACAAGCTGGAGTTATCACAGAGAAAGGAGCCTCCCTTAAGGAAATACCTCCAGGAGGTCCAGCTTAAGGCATTTTCTCAATTAGTGATCAATGAGGGAGAACCCAGACCACTGTGGGTAGTGCCATCCCTGGGCTGGTAGTCCTAGGATCTATAAGAAAGCAAGCTGAGCAATCCAGGGGAAGCAAGCCAGTAAGTAACATCCCTTCATGGCCGCTGCATCAGCTCCTGCCTCCAAGTTCCTGTCCTATGTGAGTTCCTGTCCTGCCTTCCTTTGGTGATGAACAGCAATGTGGAAGTGTAAGCTGAATAAACCCTTTCCCCCTCAACTTGCTTTTCGGTCATGATGTTTGTGCAGGAACAGAAACCCTGACTGAGACAGACAGTGACCCGCTGGAGTGTTGTATGAAATGCGGTGACAGAAGGAGGGATCTCCATGGTGCTCAGTCTAGGCTCGCTCCAAACATGGTAGTCAGTAGACAGGGAGAAAACGGCTCAATGTGGTTAAGTAGTCAGTCAGTCTGAGGTGAGTAGCTGGTAATACATTTCCAACTGCATGAGCTAGTTCTGCTCCCTGACACCTGGAGGTCTTCAGATAGACCACACAGCCAGTGGAGCAGAAAGGTCAGAGTTGACAGACTGCTGAATGTGGATGGAGATATTTCCTGGTTAGTGGATGGAAAAGCAGGGGCCCAGTGAAGGCAGTATACACAGTACTCTGGAAGTCACCAGGGATGGAAGGAACTCTGTCCCCTAGCTTACAGACAAGCAAACAAAGCAGAGAGTTCCCTGCAGAAGTCTCTAGTCCCAGAGGCTGAGCCTGACATTACACCCTTGGTTCCAGGGACCAACGTTAGGGACAACGAGGCTCACCTGTTTCTGCTCTTCTCCCAGGCTGTCCCACATGGAGGCCACTATTTTGGACACATCCCCAAAGGTGGCACTGGGATTCTGCCCTTTAATGGCAGCCTGAGTGTCTCTGAAGAAGAGAGCGTACGCTGACACTGGCTTCTGTGGCTCATTGGGGTCCTTCTTCTTCTTCTTCTTTGGATTCTTGGCCTTTTTGCCTGGGTCTGCTGAGGGTCTCTTCTCTCCCGACATCTGCCAGATGAGAGGAGTCAGTAAACCACAGAAATCAAGGGCCTCCCGACTAATGGGGCCCTAGCTAACCTTGGGCCAAGCTAGGCTTCCTCAGAAGCTTACCTCAGACCAGTCCTGTCCTCTCCCAAGCAGCAACAGGGCTGGCCCGCAAGGGGTTCATACCTAGGCGGCTTGGCGACATTGTCATGCACTTGGAGGAGGGTGGCAACAGACACATACACACAGATAGACACACATGAACCCGTGAACACAGACAACAGACAGACAAGTGCATGCACATACACATGTTGATGGAAATAGACAGAGGAACATAGATGGAGAAATAAAAGGAGACAGACACAAAGAACAGCAAAGAGACACAGATCTCAGGGTCAGAGGGACCCAGAGGTATACACAGACAGACAGACAGACAGACAGATGCTCATGAATACTGGGTGGCGCCTGAAGTGTAACCCACATGTATGTCCATTCAGAGAATTTTGACAGTCCCTGGAGACCATTGAGCTAAGAACACTAACTTACAGTGAGGCCGGCCAGTGCCCTGGACAGCAATACAAGCAGTACTAAAAGCAGTACTATGGGAGTTTCTACCTTTCCCTAAGGGTAGAAACCATCTGTATTTCTATCATTTCAAAACTTAAACAAATGCTTTTCTGTTTTACTAGCACCTCCCCTCTCCCCATGTTAACATGTCTCTGCAGCCTTTCAAAGTCTTCTGATCAACAATGAATAATAAAGTCAACAGAGGCCCCAAGCCAGGCATGTTGGTGCAAGCCAGTAATTGTTGTACTCAGGAAGCTGAGGCAGGAGGATTGAGAGATTAAGGCCATTGTGGGCAATATAAAGAGACCCTGTATCACAAAATGAAAATAAGAAACCAAGTGTCCACACTCTTAGACAATGAAGTGACCTTTTGGGCTCTGCTTTTAGACAATGAAGTGGTCTTAAGTGCACCGGATGGACCCTCTGCAAGAACAAGAATGTCCGGCTGCTGGGGGCCTGTTTCCAGGATCTAACTCCATGTTTTTCTCTCCTCCATCATGATCAAAAACAATATCCAACTAATGCCTCTGATTAAAAAGGACAGGCCACCTTCACTGCACTTCGGCTGAGACTCTAGACAATGGCTTTACTCTTGGGACCCTGTGATGCCGGGAAGAGGGGAAGGTAACATAGCTGCCATCCTGTCAGAGGACCCTCCTAAACAGATTCTCCATCTGTGGTCTCAGACACACTTGATTTAGGGTTTCCAGGATAGGGAGGGGTTGAGATGTGTCTCACAGACACCAGTCATTCTTTGTGGGGCTCCTTAGGCTAACCAAGTACTGGGGTCTTTGAACCAGGGCCTGGATCCTACAGTGAAGTCTGTGCCTCTGTGTGCCAATGCGATAAAGGCAGCATGACTAACTGATGCCAGGTCTTGGGCCAGTGGACAGACTCAGACCTCATGTCTGAGAGGCAGGGAATCTGGCAGGGCCTGTGGCCATGCTGGCTCTGTTCCAAGTGACCCTGGGGGACTCTGCAGGCTTTCACCAGTCAGTCCTTGATGAGGCAAAGTGAAGACTGAAAATAGATCGATTTCTCCCTCCCTCCCTCCCCCCTCGCGGCCGCCCTCCCTTCTTCTCTCTTTCTCCCTTTCTTCTCTTTCTTTCGGGGGGTGGGTG